CCAGCAGCCCTCCCCCAGTGCTGACATGCTGCTGGACTGTTACATAATCCTGTGTATGATCCCAGGTGCATTTTTGTAAAAGGGGTAAAAGGGCAAATTTTTTCAAAAAAGTGAATTGTCTCAGTGAAGCCTTTTCAGTTTTGTTTTAATAATAATTACTTGAGGAAATAATTAAGAACGTTATCATCTTCATTAGTGATGGCTGAGGAAGAAGGCGAGAAACTGTGAGATGAGTTTGTAGAGAGAAAATGAAGTAAAAAAAAGGCATAGAGGAAATCTGAATAAAAAAAACAAAAGTAAAAAACAGAAGGATGAAGAGAAAGGGAATGAGAGGCCCAGAGGAGGAGTGGAAACTGAGGTTTCCTGTCTGAGGAGGAGGACGCTGGCTGAGGTGGACAGAGACGGAGGAAAAAAAAAGAACATTCTCAGCTGTGTGTGTTGTTTGTGTGTTAAGTGATCCATCAGGGGGTGAGGGGTGGAGGGTGGAGGGTGGTGGTGGGCCGTGTGTTGCTTGTGAGTGTGGGTGTGTGTAAGTGGAGGTGGCACCATTACCTCAAGTTGCTTTCGTGGCTTTAACCACAAGAAACGTCAGCAAAAGCCCAGCAGTGAAGTCAACACCATCTTTGGGCATTTTCCTTCGCTCCTGAAGCTAATAATAATATATTCAAACACAGCAGCTCTGTCTAATTCTCTTTTTTAAGAATCCAGTGCTAATGTGTGACACGTCGTGCAATATGACATGTAAAAAATGTCTGTTTTTTTCTTACTGTTAGCTCTTACATAGGTAATAATCCGTATTTTACCATTTATTGTCTAATTAATAGCTTTTTTAAGTTATGTTAAGCTGTTCCCAATGTAACCTTTAGCTGTCTTTAATAAAACACATTTTCCATACGTTCCGTATCGTTCAATAGTTCAAGTTACATTTTCACTTTTTTTTTACAGATAATTCCTGCACTCAGAGATTTTAAACACTTGTGCTAATCTTGTCTACTTCTTCATGGCTTCTGTTTTAAATGTAGAGCCCAAATGTCATGGGTCAGAGGTCACAGCACACCCTCTCAGCACTCAGTCACCTTTGACCCTGTCCTTTCCACCTGGTGGATGGAAGAAAACTGCAAGTCTAGACATGAGCAGTGCAGCTAAATTCAAGTTCTGTACTGGATATGGAACGACATGCTATATTTACAGTTTTGTTTCAACATTCTTGCTTCACAGTGTTATGAACCAAATTATTTTAGGATCGAACCAGAAGTGCCAGAATCTCTATCCATCTTCCATACTGCTGTTCTGAATCTACTAGATTCTTCCGTCCATCACAGCCTCCTGGTCTTATTGTCACATGTGAAGAGTCGACTCTTCAGACTTTGTTCTGGACAAGTTTAGACCAAAAATAACAGTGAACTAGCCTCGGAGACGGCTCTTCTGTTTTCCCTGGTTTAAAGGTAATACCAATGTGGTGATGTTTTAGCATCTGCAGCCTCCAATAACACAGACCCTGTTCCATCTAAAGGACGACCGCTGCCTCCTGTGTGTGTGTGCATTTCATCACAACGTGATTGTTCAGTGTCTCAGTTCAAGCCTTCCAGAATCACACAGATCAATACTTTCATTAGATGATATTATTCCAACCACAAGCTCAGTCTCCCTCTCTCTCTCCCTCTCTCTCTCTCTCTCTCTCTCTCCTTCTTTCGACTTTGTGTGTGTTTGTGAATAAAAAAAAGCGAAGAGCCAGAGGGAGAGATGGTTTACCTCCTACAGTGTACCTCCCAGGGTCACAGCAGGAGGGAGATTAGGTTACGGCCAGTACACACGCACACACACACAGACACACTTTTTTTTAAAGTCTCACTCCGAGCAAAATATGACAAAATGTAATTTTATACACTTGACATAATGCTTTAAAGCTTTCAGCTTTCATGTGGCGCTTTGTTTGTGCTTTACGGGGGCTGCAGTGGAGCGGTGGGGAGATTCCTGCCTGCCGTGCAGAAGGTTTGGGCTCAATTCCCAATTCTAGGTGGGGTTGCGTTTGGAGGACTACCTCGGTGGTGACCCCTGTAGGGGGCACTCTGCTTCATCTGTGCTCTTTTGTTTACCTGTCTGAGCTGAACAGATTTATCTCTGTTTACCTCCAATTTTCTCACATTGGACTAAAAACAGTCGAGTTGGTTTCACTGAAATAACACTTCAGTGACAGTTCCTTCTTTTGAACTGACTCACAGAGCAGAGAATCTGATGACAGTTGTTATTCCTGTGGACTCACAGACGGTCTGTGGAGGTATTCTGTGGCAGGTTATGGTTGGAAAGGAAAAGCCTCTACCAGTTAACTCCTGAAAAATGGGGATTTTCAACATGTGGTTTGTACTGACATTTAACGTTTTCCGACATCTCCGTGGTCTAAATGAGTAGTTTATTAAACTAGGATCATGAACTAGAAAACACACTCCACTGATACCAAATCAGGCCAAAGACGTTTTGTTCTTCTAACAGCAGATGTTGTATGAACATCGATGGTAACAGAGCCAGGGGCTGCAGACCACCGAGCTGGACCTTCAAAACCATCAAACAAGCTCCACCTTGACTTAACTGGGCGTTTAAATGCAGTGATGTTCCACGTGAGGCTTTACATTACCTCCCCATGACCCCGTGCCCCTGCTCTCTGCCTCATCCACCGGCCCCCACCTCTCCCACCCCCACAGCCTAACCTGTGTTCAGCCTTCAGCACCTTGCCTCATCAAAGGGCTGAGCGGGGCTGTAGGTGATGCAGTTCCACACAGGCAACTCTTTCAGGTCTCCCCCTTCCTCCTGCACTTCCTCCTCCTCACCCTTGTATATACTCGCTGTGGCCCCTCGGTCATCGCCCCCTCTCTCCTGACCCTGTGCTGTTTGGCTGCTCTGGACTGTGTTTACTCTACAGCAGAGCAGGGCAGAGAGGCAGAACGAGAGAGGAAGAGAAAGAGAGAGGACCCAGGAAAGGGACAATGCTGCCTTTCAGTCTGTCGACCCCACGGCCGAGCAAGGAAAGCTTCGTGGGGGCCAGAGCCGACACCCCTTTCCCAAACTTCACAGCCACCCCCACCAAACTTGAATATCTCTCTGACATGTTCACACAGACTACAGCGTACTCTCGTTCTTTCCCTCATTAGCTTTGTCTCACATTACCCACAGAGCCGCTCCTAATAATCAGGGCTGTTTGGAGGATACAGTCTAGATCCTATAGATCTGTCTTCACAACCACTAGAAAAAGCTGTTAGGAATATTATATTATAAGATGAGCCGCAGGTTCAAGTCTTCTGATCACAGTTAGATTATTTATAATAAATGGATGAAGATTTTCTCTGGAAAACAAAGATCATGTGACGCTTCAAAATATGAAGTTCATTTGTAGAATGGAAAAAATTATCTGCAACCAGATTTTCCCTAGATAGATAGACAGACAGATACTCTATTGACCCAATTGTCAATATTGTCATAGTGACATGTGTGATTGGACATTTCCAATCATGTCCATCTTTTATGTACGTTCTATGATTTGCCCCATATAGAAACTCAACCAAAATAAGTAGAGATAAAGACGTTACACCTGAACTGTGTTCCATTATTGTTTCTAGACAGAAAACAGGATAGCTGTGTTTATTACAAAGACACTGGAGACATTATGAGAAACAGAGGGTTATACAAGCAGGACAACCTTTGGCTCTGTATATTACCCCTGACATTTAAGTGACACGGTGGTGAGGGGGTCACGAGCCTGTCAGAATACAGAGAAGAACAAGAGGTCATTGTTGCTGGGAAAGTAGAACAAGTACAAATACAGTAAAGTGCATTTATTGTATGAGGATATTTTTGGAACCAGAGAGAGAGATTCTGACCAGACTACTGACTGCCCCCTGGCTCACAGTGTGCTAACTGCTACATTATCTATGTATGTGTGTGAGTGCTATGCTTTGGGGAAAAATTAGAATTATATAAATATATATATATATGTATATATATATACACAAGTGGGTGTTGATTAAAGCGTTTGGTTCAGATTTGTGCTTTTAGTGTTAATCTGAGTGAACCAGAGCACACTGGTATTTGGCTACGAAACACCAGTGCTCGAGTGAACCAGAGCACATTGGTATTTGGCTACGAAACACCAGTGCTGTACCAGCAACACCTGCAGGTGTGAAACAGTCCAATCTGGAGAATGAGGAAAATATATATTTTTTTTTTTACACTTGTGTTGGATAAAAAACCCTTGTCATTCTTCACTCCGGTCATTGTTTTAGGCGGTGAACTGGTTGTTACAATTTTAAGGAGTAGCTCAATGGTGTGGTCCTGTAAGAACCTGGTATTACTGGTTCTGTTGAAGAACTCAGAGTGACAGCTAGATGGAGCGTCCTGCTCACCACCCTGAGGCTGGGTCCAGAGGTCAGTGTGTTAAGAGGAAGGAGGTGGTGGCAGGAGGAGATGCAGCTGGACCTGAAGGCCCGGGGGTAAAGATGGAGGGGGAGGAGGGTTCTGGTTGGTCTTTAAGGTCTGTGGTCTCCTAAAGTGCACATTCTTGGGTTTTGCCCTGAGTTGGGGTAATGTGTGGTGTGAGGTAGGGCAAGGGCAAGACAAGACACAGGGGTAGGGGCAGAGTAATGCCACACGGGTGGTGACGGTGACCATCTGGATTGGATTGTAGGGGAAGAGTGTGTGAGCAAAGGTCAGCATGGGAAAAAGAGGAGGGGTCACAGTGTGTGTGTGTGTGTGTGTGTGTTTATTTTTCTTTTTCCCACTCAGTGTCTCAGTATTCAGCTGTGGTCAGTTTACCATTGTTTGAGAGTCGTTCTTACCCACTGGGATCGTGGAATGTGAGAAACTTTTGAAAACGTTTCACATGGGAAATATTTCAGGTGTGAGAAACTTTCACAACACGGCATTTCATTGTCTTTGCCTTTGTTTGTGTGAAAAGTAATCCTACACTCGCGGCCTGGTCTCTGACCCTCTGTGATTGGATGTTTGTGCAGGTGGAGAGTTGTGGGGGTCGCGGCCATGCTGTCTCTGGACGAGCCCCTAGACCTCAAGCTTCCCCGGCGGATCAATGGGCGGGACCGAGGAGCGTGGTCACCCCCGCTTTCCCCACTACACCCTAAGCGACCTCGCCAGCTGCACATGGCGGACGACGGCACTGCAGTCATAGAGCCGGCGTCACCAGATTCTCCACACACAGGTGAGTGAGCATGTTGTGGGAAACAGATGAGGTCAGTGCCCCGGTGTCTGGTCCCTGAGGTTGAGAGATCACCAGGTGTGTGTTTGTGTTATGGCAGGTGTGCAGGTGGTGCCCCACGATCGAACAGACACACCCACTCCTCCCGCAGTGGACCTGAGTATGTCCCCCTCCTCTCGCTACACAGCCAGCTCACCAGAAATGACCAATGGTCACAACGTCCCCTCAGGGGTGAGTAGGACGGAGATCAAACCCAGCACTCTTCTCCAGGTCTCACTCTGGCTGTTCTGCTGCCACTGATAAACGCTCTTCTTTACATTTAATCACCAACTCAGACACGGCAGAACTGCTCCATCAATTACCCCAGCAAACTCAACGGGGCTCAAAGCTGATCCCTGATGAATCCCTAATTACATTTTCTGCTCTCACACCTGCAGACTTTGCTGGTTTTCACATCCTTTTTCTATGGGTTCACTTCGAGTGGTTATTAGTGACATAGTGAGTGTCCAACACTTTCCAATCTGTCCCTCTGAGTGTGAGTGAGTCTGTTGTGATCAGCAAATCTGGAACAACACGAGCTCTTGTGTTTTGTGTGTGTTGTTTGTTTGTGTGAGAGACAAAGAGATGGTGTAAGCTCTCGTCAAAAACTTCTTCTGTGTCCAACAAGTATGTGTGTGTCTGTGTGTGTGTGTGTGTTCCTGTATAATCCGATTTAAGACAGGGTATAGCCATGCAGACCTCACACCATCTAATTAAATTCCTTTGCAATTGAATTGAGACAGGCTGGATCCATACAGTCGTTCCCTGTTCCC